AAAAATCTGATAACGTTTGGCTACATTTTTGAATACAAATTTCAGATGAATCATTAATCATCATATATTTAAGAAATACATTGTAATTTGTTATCATCAGTTATATTAATTAATTACATTTTAATTTAAAAGATTTTATAAAGTTAAAAAAATGCATAGGATTTAAACCTTAAAACTCTAATAAAAGTTACATATTAATTAAGTGCAAGAAAGATCTGATTGACAATGTTAAAATGATATAAAATATACACTAATATATGAAAATTACTTAATTCTTTTCTATACTTTCCTACAATTATCATCAAATTACTTCATCGTTAATACTGCATTAATAAATTATGTAAAAAAATTAATTATGTAATGGGGCCTAATAATTTGTTCATTTATTTTTATAATTATCATGAATATAAAGTAAATAAACTTATAAAAATTCAAACATAATGGAATAGAATAAAACTGATCACTTAAACAATAGAAGATGGATATTTTTGTTTATTTAAAAAGAATATTGTGTGTCACTCTGACCCATTTATATTGTTTTTGTTGTCAGTTATTTGTTTTTTATGAAATTATTTTTATTGACCATATTATCTATTTTATATTTTAAGATATACTACATTTTAATTATTATTCTCATTATTTACAAATTATTACAATTTCTTTTTTTTACAATGTTCAATATAAATTATTCTGGTTACTGCTTTAGGAATTTACACTAGTTTGTAACATATCATATATAATTTTGATGGTTTATTCAAATATTTATTTTGTTCAAATTTGTTTTTTTCTTTACTAATTTCTGTGAATATTTAAATGAATGAAAACATTGTCCTATGGTATATTGTTTTTCTTTAATTTGTTAAACTTGTATTGATAAATATGAATTTAAATGTTAAAGAAGGCCAATAATATTTGAGAATACAAACAAATAAATTCATACATATATGATTTGAAATTTGTCATACTTTATTTTGAACAATCATATACTTTAAAATCTGATATTCGTCATTTTTCAAATTAAAGATGACATTTGTTATAAATATTCATTAGTCTACATAAGCAAAAACTATTTTAAAAAATGATTTAACTGTTTAAAATTTATTTAATTGTTTCACTTTGTAAAAATTTAATATTTTTCTATATATTTAATAATATAAAAGTTAATAATAAGCATTTACTAAAACACTAACAGCACAAACACAGAGTTTTCAGCAGCAATTTAAATTCTTTATCATCAATTGGCAGTTAATAATAAAACTGAATTATATAAAACTTTCATAAATGGATTTGTAAGTTTAATAGTAAACCATAAATAATTAGTAATCACATAAATATGCTTGCTCAACTAGTGTAAAATTTTTTTATAAAATTTAAATATGCTGAAATAAAATATTGTTCATTAAAATTAACAAGACTTATACTTTGTTAAACAAAGAAAAGACCACAGCTTATTAAAGAAAACATTATAAAAATTAAAAGAAGGAAGGAAAATATTTAGAAAATTATAAAATTGAGACAGACATTCTTATTAATAATTTATTGGGCACATTTAGCAAACAGCAGTGCTGCAGAACTTTAGTGAAATGGCTGGCTAAACTACTCCTACGTGATACGTTACTGTCAGCACTTTCTTGAAACAGTCTGCCACTGTTCCTATGTTCAAGTGGATATTTACTATGTCGCATTAGTAGTGCTTTAGTACAGCACACCATGCTTAAAAACAAATAAAAATGTAAATTTAAATTTAAAATTCAATGAGCAGATCTTTAATATAATCGTACATATGAATGAAGAAAAGAGAATTACAAATACAAAAATATACCACATATAAAATGCCTAACACTATGCTTCTGAGTTCTGAATCATTGTTATATCTGTGGGCTATGGAACAAACATGTCAAACCATCCTTACAGTATACACTATAGCACTACATACTTTATGTTTGCTGAATGCATCTATTCACAAGATAGAATTTTCACTTAACTCTCATAACATAAAACAATTTTGCAGTTCTGATATAAGAATATATATATATATAAAATAAGGATTAAAAGTTTTTGTATTCTCTATCTTTGCACTTTTTAGAAATTAAAAAAAAATTTGAACTATAATAAAAAATATCTAAAATCATTATAAAGTATTCATAAATAATTTATATTTCTATATTTATTCTTTATTTTTTCTTTAAGAAGAAAAATTCACAAATTATTATTTTAAATCAATAACATAAATATTTATATAATATAATATAAAAAGCCTTTAAAAAATAATAATATTTACTTTAATTTTAAACAGAAGAATATGTTTAAAATTAAAGTATAATAATTATAATTATTTCTGAGAAACAAAACAATATAAATTATATAAATAGTAAAGGAAAATCTTGATAAGAGTTATTGTTATTATTATTAATATAGAATAGGAGGACATTATAATATAATAAAATGTTTGCAGGCATCTAAAATTTTTTTGTAATAATATACTATAAACTGGTTCTGTACTGATGTACTGATTATAAATTATAGAATCATTTATAAATTTATATATGTAATATAATATAATATATATATATATATATATTTCAGAGTTTTAAAATATGTTACTTCATAAAATTTTAAATTTTAGAATATTCTGTCAGATATAGATAGATTCATATAAATGCAGCTATTTTAATCAATGTTAAATGATGATCTGTGTTTTTATCTTTTTTTATATTATTAATTTTCAGACATATATTCTACATTAATAGTTAAAATAAACTATTAATGTAGAATATATGTTAAATGTTAATAATAAATTTCCAAGATATGTAATGTATAGTGCAACTATAAGCAATATACACTACTGTGTTTATTGTCTATAAATCATCAAAAGTAATGGAGCAGGTTCAATATTCTAATTTTTTTCATTTCATTTTTATATGCTAAATTATAATTACATACATAATGTCATTTTAATTACATATGAAAATAGAAGTTAAGAAATTTAAATAATTTGTAACATGCATGAGTTACATGATATAGTTCATTTAACACTGCAAAGGTCAAACCAAAGATGCTTATGTTATTATCACATTTAAGTATACGAAGAAAATTTTTAATTACAGTAATTATTAGAAAAATATATAATTTAATCCAATACAAAATTTTAGAGGGGAAACCATTTTAAGATAAAGGCAGAACAACATTTGATCTCAACACCTTTCTTTTTTATTTACAAAGAAAAGATGTATAAAAGCAAAAAAGTTACTTTTGTTCTTTGAATGGCTCAACGGTAAAGAAATATACTAATTACTCAATAAATTATTTATAATTTATATGTGTAAAAATAGATTATTTAAACAAAAATTAAATTATTTAATTTTCTTTATCGTAACCACCTAAAGTTATAAATTATATGTACTGAAGCATGACTTTTAAATTAAAAATTAAAAGAAGAAACCATTTAATCATAAATTTTTAAAAAGTAGTAAATTCATTTTATCAGTTCAATAACTTTATTATTAATTTTTTATCGTATCAAATTTTATTTAATTTTATACAGGTAGTTTACATTTTGTTTTTATAATTTAAAATAAAAAAAATTGATATGAGAAATAAAACTGAATAAAAATAATTATAAATCAATAAAACTTTTTATTTTTCTTATTTTTTTAAATTTTTTGTAATATAATACTATAAACTGGTTCTGTACTGATTATAAATTGTAGAATCATATATAAATTTGTAAGAATAGTTTTAAAAATATAAAATAATTTGAGAGTATATTACTTAAATTATATTTAGAAATTTCTATATAACATTTTATATTTATAAAAATAATTAGAAAAGGTCTTTAAATATACTGAAGTTAATTTTCGATATGAAAATACTTTTCTATGATTTTAAATCTTAAAAAAATTATTATTATTATTTTTTTAATTCTACATTAATTTAACTGAATTCATGTCATACTTATATAAAAATCACTATTTAATCCAGTACAAGTGTATAATTATTAACATAGTAATAACTTTTTATAGATAGCCTGGGAAAAGCTAAATGTGTTTGTTAATTAATAACAATTTTTAATCACGTATGATTAAACACATCATTATATTAAAAAGAAAATTAATAGTTTTGAAAAACTAAATTTTATTATTTAAAATTTTAAACAATCACTTTATCTCTCAGTAAAATATATCAAATTATAATACTAATTACTAAAAATACCATCATCACATTAATTCCTACTTCATAATTAGTTGTGTACATTCTATTTTCATGACAAATTTTTAATGATGCTTGTATAAAATGCCATACTTTTTTATTGGCCATCTCTAAACACTAATATAAATAGTTAAAACTAAACTATAAAAAAGCATAGATTCCAGGAATGTAAACTTAATTTATGACATTGAGCTTTTGGGAAATAGGCCAGCTTGCTTAATAATGATTTTCTAGGAACCAATTAGATCATAAAAGCAGCTCTACTGTATATATCAATAAATTAATGAAAATAATGCTTATTTCTTATTCCTAAGTAACATTTTCATATGTTTTTTAAAGGTAAAGTCCCTATATGATTAGAGAAATAAATACAAGAGCATTATTAAAGAATAATTTTATGTATTTTTATTATTATATTCAAATTAAATGACATCCTTTATTTTATCAATGTCTAAAAACAATATGTTTATTAATATTATAAATAATTTCAAAATATATATTAATTGACCTTTTTTAATTGTAATATGGAAGACAAACTAAACTAGTTTGTTTTGTCATTACAAAAGTTTACATTTTATTAATTGAAAATTTTAAAATATTTAACTGGATGAATGTGATAGGATGACAGTTATTAAACTTCTTTTTCTTTTAATTTTTTTAAGAATCTATTTTATGGTATAATAATAACATATAATTAAACCTATGTAGTGAATTAATTTTTCTGATATGATTTACAAAAAAATACATTTTTATATCCATTGTTTTGCTAAATTATTTTCGAGTACACTTACTTGTTATCATTCAAAAATAGTAGAAATAATTCATCACTAAACACCTGTGGATGCTAAAAAACATTTCTTGGTTATGCACTAATGTTTACAGCCTAATGCGTAGGCCATCCTCAGGTGACTGATTTTGGAACATCTGTTACAAACTGTTCCAAAACAGAATATATTTTGTATAGAACATTAGAACATCAAAAGCTTAAATATTTGAGTACATTATTGGAATATTAAACTTTAAATATTTGAATATAAAGTAACATAAAAATAAAATTTTAACATAAAAGCAAGATAATACAGTGGAGCATCGATTATCCGAATGTCGATCAACCGAAACATCAATTAACCGAAAGCTTTCCAGTCAGCAAATTTAAATTTTCACTAGTGCTGTGGTGCTGCAATCTTTGGCTATGTCTTGGGCTACTCCAATATTATTTTTATTGGTGTGCGTGTTTTAGCTGGGCAGCACTGACATGACCATAAGATGGTACTTAAGGATGTGCCAGGATTTGAACGAATTTCAACATGGGATAGGTTAATATATTTTTTCGTACATAATCAGTTATCCGAAAAATCAATTTTCCAAACAACCCCAGTCCCCAATTGATTCGGATAATCAATGCTCTACTGTAATTCTAAATTAACCTTAAATTCTAACAAAAATGAAGTAAAATAAACTATAAAAATATACAATTTTAATACAGAAATGTGTGTTAGTAAAGTTAACTAGAAATTTCTATACAGTTTATTTTTTACAATAAACTTCCATGATGATGGCAAACTGTCCACATCTCTTGCATTATTAATACATTTATCCTCCAATCTCCTCATATACAGTAATACCCCAAACTTACGCGATAGGTGGGACCGAGCGATAACCGCGTAAGTCAGAGTATAATTTCACAATTTGTGTAAAATCCAAGTCGGATGTATGTAAGCTAATAAATGTTCTCGTTAATCTTATCTCGCCTTTTGATTTGTTCAAGGTTACAAGAAATCACCACATAGAGTCTATCGAGTCTCCGTAGATATAACAAACATAGAAATAAATAACACAAAATAAATTGTAGCTATGTGTCGATTCCACACGACACGTCCGAACACGTAAGCTGAACAATGGTGTGGGGGAAATGAGTAATCAATAGTTGCGTGGCACTCAAACAAAAGATGAATCGACGAGATTTGAAAATCGCGTAACTCCAGGTTCGCGTAAGTTGGGGTAGCGTAAGTCAAAGTATTACTGTATATTTCAATTTTTTCAGCATTCACTGCCAATGGTGGGGATTTTAAGTCTTAATTATCTCCACCTCATCCCATTTTACTGTAGAACTTTCAGTTTGTGCCATCTGGGATAGTACTGTAGTTATTTATTTTACTATGATTTCTGTTATTTATTTATTTATTTTAGAATTCTTGTTATTGTTTTTAAATATTTTATATTTACATTCTTTTTTTCACATTCTATTCTATTGTAACTGAAGATAAGTGATGCTAATCAAATACATAATTACATAGTAAATTTTGTTGTCGGATTTTTTAAAGGTGTGATAGTACTGTATTGTAAAGGCCTCCTTTTTTTTACACTATGCTTATGTTCTTTAAGTCTAACGCTCAAGTTTCTTTTGGTGTCTTCAATATAATTCTTCTTTATTCCTAATTGCATGTTTTCATAAGGAATCTTGTACACATCTTTTTTCTCTTCTTTCTTTAACATATCTTTATCATTCTTCAGTATAATTACTGTAAACATTTGACACTGTTTTGAGAATTAATTTAGAGCTTTTGCTGTCTACCAAAAGTGGTTGGTGTGTTACAAGACCTATCATTAATAGAAGAAGAACCTGGGATAATAATGGACTTTGAGAGCTTATATCTTTCAATAAGAACAGAATCATGTTTTCAACTGCTAATGGAATTTATGATTCTCCAGATCACAGAATTAATTAATTATTCAAAAGAGATGAGAGAGTTAGCCAACTTAGCGTGTTATGAATCATTTTTTTTAGTTTTAACAACCAGGTGTACAGAAAAGAAAGTGGTTCCCCATGGAGAGTCCAGTATCAGGATTGTTATGTGAACTGGTGTTACAAAAACTGGAGTACACAGATATAGTGTATTTTTAAAAATATGGATGACGTTTGTATCATTTGGAAATCAACAAAAAAATTTGTGAATTTCTGATAAGGTTAACAAAGATGGCTGAAACTGAAGATGGAACAAAAGCATTCATTAAAAGATACATTTTTCAGATATAAACATTAAATTTAAAAGAAGAAATTTAATCACCAGTGTATACGTTAAGTCAACACAAAACCCACTCTACATCCCATCTAATTCGGATGACCCTTATCAATACAAACTGGCAACATTCTGGATGCTCTTCAGAAGAGCATATTTGTATTGCAATAGTGTATGTGATAGACTGAAGAAACTTAATAGATTAAAGAAATGGCCAAAACCTGGGATACAAAAACACAACTGATTAGAAGCCATTAGGGAAGCAGACAAAAACTTAAAACAGTAGACTCAATACAATTGCAAAGTTCACTTTTAACAAGAATATGAACATTATGAAAGAAATGGCAGACCATAAAGACTCTAAACCAATTCTTAAAAGAGCACCAAATTTTTACAGTAACTATACTGAGGAATGACAAAGATATGTTAAAGAAAGAGGAGAAAAAGATGTGTACAAGATAACTTATGAAAACATGCAATTAGGAATAAAGAAGAATTATATTGGAGACACCAAAAGAAACTTCAGAGTTAGACTTAAAGAATATCAGTAAAAAAAGGGGCCTTTACAATACAGTACTATCCCAGATGGCACAAACTGAGAGTTCTTTGGTAAAATGGGATGAGGTGGAAATAATTAAGACTTTACAATCCTTGACATTGGCAGTGAATGCTGAAAAAATTGAAATATATATGATGAGATTTGAGGATAAATGTATTAATGCAAGAGATGAAGACAGTTTGCCATCATTAGGGAAGTTCATTGTAAAAAATAAACTGTATAGAAATTCCTAGTTAACTTTACTAACATATATTTCTGTATTAAAATTTACAATTTTAATTCTATATTTTTATAGTTTATTTTACTTCACTTTTGTTAGAATTTAAGGTTAATTTTGAATTATCTTGCTTTTATGCTAAAATTTTATTTTTGTGTTCTTTATAGTCAAATATTTTAATCTTTATATTTCAAATATTTATAGTTTGATGTTCTAATGTTCTATACAAAATATATTCTGTTTTGGAACAGTTTGTAACAAATGTTCCAAAATCAGTCATCTGAAGATGGCCTATGCATTAGGCTGAAAACATTAGCACATAACAAATAAATGTTTCTCAGCATCCAAAGGTGTTTAGTGATAAGTTATTTTTTCTTCCAAGTATGAATTCAATTGTTATAGTATATAGTTATAGATACAGAGAAAATATTACCAGTAGCTTAATGAATCATCAAACACTTGATGCTGAGAAACGTTTATTAAACAAACACTAATGTTTTCGACCTAATAGAATTTATGTTAAAAAATTTATATAAGCAATATTATCACTACTATAAAAACTTTAATGTAATAAAGCAATTCACTATAATTATTTAATACTGACATTTCTTTTAATTTCAATAAAAATTGATTTATGAAGTGAAGATGCAAAAAAATAATAGGCAACTCTACATATTGGATTGTAGACTATACTATAAATATGTATATTATAACATAGTATAAATTATTTATTTATTTTTTGAGATATACTATAAATATATTTCAAAAAATAAAACAAATATAAAACAATAATTTTTTACCATATTTTATATACATTACAAAATTGTATTTGATATAGTAGAATTTTAATTACTATATTGATGTAAAGACTAAATAAAATAAAAACAAATCAAAAAAGGACATTTTCAGGAAATTTAAAAAATTCTTAAATAATTTTTAATGTTTCTGAAACTGTAATTTGATATTTCTATAAGAATCGAATTAATGTATAGTAATTCCTCAATTTAGTATTATAAATATATCATTTCTGTTATTTATTTATGAATTTAATGACAATTAACTTTTTTGTTTGAATTTATGAATAGTTTATTTATTTCCACATTACAATTTACTAGTATCGTCAAACAACAGGTTTCTAATCAATTGAACTAATCTATTATATCATCTGATTTTACTAATTTCTTGATTTATTTAAACAAATGATAAATTCTATAATAATTTTGTGTTCATTTTCTTTACACATAAGTACAGAAATTAAATGTTTTTGTGCAATTCTTTTTTTACAGATGCTATTTCAATATTTATCAAAATACATACATACCAGTATGGCAAAAAATAATTAACCTTAGTAAAATGCAAATCGTCATTACATTTTACAATTAAAAATGTTAAAAAACTGCACCTTAATATGACAAATTAGTTTCATAATAAAAAAATTAATTTTTATTGTTTGAGAAAATTTTGTTTTGTTTAACAATTATATTACTTCATTAAACTGTTCTTAAGTCTACAACAAAATTACAGTTGACCCCCCTATAACACGGGTTCCTATATTTTGGATTTCTATATCACAGTGAAAAAATTGCAACAGTATTCGTACAAACATGCTAAAAAACTCCTATAATTCGGTAAAACGTCATCGCTGACTCGTGTCGCGACAGGATTGGTCGAATCTAGACCAATAGCGGATATTGCACAAACTGTTGAGTTTAAACGAGCACTGGACCTACTAAAAACCATTTATTATTTAACATCCATATAAATTATATTTATATTAATGATGTCTCCAAAGTTCAGCAGAATTTTTCGCAAAAAAAATAATTTATCGGGAAGCACGCGAGCGCCATTCGATGACAAGCTCAACGACGAAAACAAGTTTAAGCAATGGCATAGTCGAACGGTGCACGCTCGGTAAGTAATCCTACAATTTTTTGTTTATAGCATAATTTATATGGATTATTCCCAAAAAATTATATGTATTTTGGAAATATTGAGTTGAATTAGCCTAGAATCAATTAATTTTATGGAAGAAACCTTTCAAACAGCCATAGTCCGTAAACTGAATACGTGCCGGGCTGTGATTGACTGGACTCGTAGAAAATGGATTCATAAAAACCGGAACG